TAAATTCTTACCTCTCCTGATTTCCACAGGATTAGCTCCTTTGCTGATTTTCTCAAAGCCCTCCCTGGCAATGGAACGCGCCAGTACTGTTGCAGTAGTAGTTCCATCTCCTGCCTCTTCATTTGTGTTGTTGGCAACATCTTGAACTAACCTGGCTCCAATGTTTTTGTATTTGTCTTTCAAGTCAATTGCCTTGGCTACTGTCACACCATCTTTTGTTACCTTGGGACTTCCCCAGCTTTGTTCAATAATCACTGTTCTACCCTAAAATCATCCAACATACATAAGAGGTATATAATTAAAATGATACCAAGCAGCACAGACAAAAGGTATTACTACAGAATTACCACTTGGCACATCTACACAACATAAAATGTCTACACTGCAATAAAACACGCATGAATGGTCCATGGGCTTGTGAAGCACTAGCACTGGGCCCCCATAACAGGGAGGGGGGGGGGGGGGGGGGGGAGGGAGATCCCAGAACCTAGGCTCCAACCCAAGCCCAGACATCTACACTGCAATTTTATAGCCCTGCAGCCCAAACAAAGCCAGCTGACATGGACCAGCTGCAGGTGTTTTATTCCAGTGTAGACATACCCTCAGACAGCCACTTTCCACCAAGACACACACTTAATATATTCTTATTTTTATGAAGAGGAAAGTTTGTGCTCCTACTTTCCAATGTCAGAATGAGATTTATAATGGTTCTTCTATCTGGAGCCAGAAATCAGTGAAAGCATAAGGTACCATTTTAAAAGGAGAGCATTCAACTTCCACAAACAAGGTATGTTATGAATAAATGGAACACAATGTAGTTCAATCCTTCTCATCCCTGTAAAGTCAACAGGAGCAATAAGGTAGCAAACACATATTCATCATCAAATAAGACACATATGGGTAAGTCTAACTATGTCAACAGGAGGGCTTCTTCCGTTGACACAGCTACCGCCTCTTGCAGAGGTGGATTAACTACGTCATCTTCCATTGGCATAGTAGCATCTTCGCTGAAGGGCTACGGCAGCACAGCTGCACTGGGTGTTGTGGCAGCATTTTAGGTATAGAGCTGACCTCAGTCTCATCACTTTTTCTCAACCCTCACCTTGAGAAACTAGCCTTTCACCTACAGCCACTACACCTCTGCCCTTCAGAAAAACTGAGAAGGTGCCAACTCCCAATTGTTACAAGGTGACTAGCTCCTTTAAGAATGGGCAGGGGCCAGTGCCCCTGATTGATTAGTTGCCTCCCAAATGGGGTTAAGAGAAGCCACCTGAGCCATATAAAGGAGAAAGTCAGAAAAAAGTGGCAGATAACAGCTGCGTGAGGAGGAAAGGACAGATGCAGGGAGAAACAGAAGCAGCAAAGGAAAGTGGATACAGAGAGCCACTGGGAAGAACAAAAGGTAAAGAACATTACTGGTGAGGACTCGCCAACGCTGGTGAACCCCTACTGAATTACAAGAAAGCTTGTACAGAGGCCCCTAGGAACAAAGGGAAAAACCAGCCTGGTTAGGGGTAACCAAACATGAAACAATAGAATTGATGTAGGTCAGGAGAATGGCTCCCAAGAGTATGGGTAGGACCCAGTTAGGGAGGCCTGGGTGAGGGGAACACTGCTAGGGAGCTCTCTTGGGAGAGGCTTGACTTGGGGCTACCAGAGAAGTCACAGTTAGAAGCAAATCTGGGAGCTCTCAAGTGGATGGCCTGGAGATGAGCTCTGGAACATGGGAGATTATGTCCCAGAAACAGATAAGGAAAAAAGCTCAGAACCTCCTGTACTTTGGGATTTTGGAAAGAATGATTTTATCATGAGGGTTCTGCAGATTATTGAACACGTACAAGAATAAACTATGACTACGGACAGGCCACTGAATTGAACATTGAAAGAGACAGTATTTCTTTAATGGCTAGACCAAGAGGAAACAGACAGGCACACATATCATGGTGCAGTTTGTGGCTTGGGGGTCACCTTGTTATAGTGATGAAGAAATAAATGGACAGACCAACTAACTTCTCATAAGCTAGGCAGCCATTAACAGTGAAAAAGAACTGCTTTGAGCCACCCAGTCTCACACGCTGTCGGTTATGTAATTTATATCATGGTTTTTAAAAATAATAGAATCTCCTCCCCACTTGAAAGTTTCTCTCTTAAGCTGATAGATATCTAATTTGTATTTTTGGTTTAAAAAGAAAACTTTAGGAGTGTAGAGTGATGGGACACTTACCTTTGGAGACAAACTTGATTACAGACAAATATTCTATAGTAGTATATATAGCCTTAATCCTGCAAACACCTAATGTGTATAATTATATTCATGGGAGTAGTCCAACTTCAATCAATAGGATTACTCACTGGGATAAACATTTGGAAAATTGGGCCCTAAAGGTGCATTCACCCATCATCCACCATTATTATTACACCCTTGAGAACCACTGCCCAAGAGGCATGTATGATGTCCATGGTCTTGCTTTAATCATGAGCCCTCTCCAAATTATGTCTTGTTCCAACATCATATGATCAAGCAGGACATAACAACTAGTTACTCTGAAAGCCTAAACTTGTTGCAGGCAGTTAAGCTGCCTCTAATTCTTTTTCTCCTCTGTATGTTCACAGACCCCATTAACACTAACCACCGTAAATATATCCTGCTACAAGTAATTTTCTATCCACTGAATGTGATTTCAATTGTTCAACCAAGATTTAAGTGGCTGTGTGGCACTGGAAAGACACATTTAGCAGCAAAGAAGAGATTCAATTCTCTCCAACAAGAGTGTGGCACACTATATATTTACCATTTGTTATGTACACAGTGATTGAATGACTGATAAATTATGCACTGTACCTACTGTAATTTTGAAATGGTCCATTTTATCAATTTTTTGATTTTATGAATTCCTCAATCCCCAATTAGTTTACAAAACAGGGCTGTACTGTACAAGTATTCACATTACACAAAAAATAGCTTTTAATATACCTTTGGTCCCATGGTGACAGCTACAGCATCTGCTAGAAGATCTACTCCCTGTAGCATAAGAGCTCTAGCCTCTGCTCCAAATTTAACATCTTTTGCATAGGTCCGTAGTAGGTGTGGGGCCAGTGCTCTGGACACTGGCCTCATCTGACGTAGCACTGTTGATAAACGGAGCATTTCTGAAGAAAAAGAAAGAAAAAGTAAGATACCACATTAGTTTTATTGTGGCAGTCCTTTGAACAACCATATTCCTGTGTTTTGTTCTCAAACTCCTCCAAAGATTTAGAGTAAACAACAAGTTGCTAGTAGTTTTGAGTTTTAAATGAAAGTGGTGACTGATCAAATATTTTAGTGTCGTAATTTTTGTAACAGTTGGATACTAGAGCAAAAGTCCAGGAGTCTAGACCCCTAGATTCTATTCCCAGCTCTTCCAGTGATTCACTATGTGATCCTGGGCAAGTCACAACTTCTGCACCTCAATTTCTTCTTCTCTAAAATGGGAATAAAGTTTGAGCTCATAAGAGCACTGTGAAGTTCACTCTTTGTATGTGAAGAGATTATAGCAACAACGAGTGTTATGAGCATGCTAGTATTATGTATGATAAAGCAGGAAAAGTAGTATATTTTACTGAGACTACTACAGGCTAGAAGAAAGTTTGTCAGAGCTCAGCAGCTTTATCAGCATAAGCATCCTAAAAGTAAAGTTGCTATCTCAAAAACAGAATGTGACAGTGAAAAACGAACACTTCAAGGCTGAGAGCATCTGGTGATAAACTAAAAAAAAAATTGCAACAGTCTGGCAGAGAAAGCCTGCAGAAACCCAGGCCTATCCCCCTTCCACATGGTTCTCTCCATCAGGACATAACAAGGTCAAGAGACACTCGCCCCCTGCTGCTGGATGAGCCAACCTGCACAGGCAGGGGAGCCACCCTCATGGAGGCCCCTTCTCCCAGAGATTATGGGAGAGGCTGTAACTGCAGCCCAGCAATGAACGGCGTGAAACCATCCTGCTAACAGGGCAGTGCCCCCCTGCCAAGGGGTAGCCAATGGCTGGTAATGCTTCCAGTGCAAAAGAGAGGGGGACACAGTACGTAGGAAGCCGTGCACACGCACCCCGTATGTCTCTCACACACAGTCCCACACCCCCCTCCTAGACTGAAGGCGACGGGGTGTCTCACACACACACACACACTCAAGGGCAGGAGGCGGGAAAAATCTCATACACACACACACAAAGAAGAGCAGGAGAGGGAAATCGCACACACGAGCAGGCGTTTCCTTTCTCACTCCTCCAAGGTAGGAGCCGGGGGCCCCCTTTGTCACACCCCCGCTCTCCCCCCCCCAGCAGGAGACTGGGGGGAGAGTCTCTCACACGCCCCAGTCCCTGAGACACCGGGCACGTGCGGGAAGCGGCGTGCGGGAAGCGGCGTGCGCGCTCCGTGGCGGCGGGCAGGGCTCGGGGAAGCCGCGAGGAGCCGTTCCCTGCCTCCTCAGCGCCGATGGCAGCACCGCGCCGGAAGAGGCTGCCCGGTGCCCTGGACGCACATGGCTAGCGGGAGGAGAGGCCCCGGCGCAGCAGCCCCGAGCCCGCGCCGGGCCCCGCCTCAGCGGGCACAAGCCCCCGAGCCCGCGCCGGGCCGCTCACCTGTGTAAGGCGGGCAAGGCAGTAGTCGGCTCCGCGGTCCGGGTTGGGAGCTTGACGAGCAGCACAGCGCGGTGTGACCGAGTGACGGGAGCCTGGAGGGAACACAGCACTCACGGACTCTGCCCCTCCCCCGCTCAGGCAGCGACCCATGTGGGGTCCTGTGCAGCCGGGCCCCGTAACCAGCATAACAGCATACGTTTGTCCCAGTTGGAGGCGGAGCGCGGCTTTCCGCCAATCGTGCAAGGGCCTAGCCGGGGAGTGGGCGGGGCCTGCGGGACTATGCGTCCTATGTGTGAGCTCCGGCTACTCGCGTATGAATCAAACAGGTTTCGGGGCCTCCCAATTCCAGAACCTTCTGGAACGCTCATGCTCGCCACAGGTCAAAGGTGGTATTACGTCACTTCAGGTCGTTGGGCCGATGCTGGGTGTAACGAGGACCTATTGACGCTGGTGTTCGGCTCTGCTGCATAGAGAATCCGGGTCTAGGGCGTAAAACGCCTGCGAGAGTAAAAAATAAACGTGGAAATAACATTTGTCTTCTAGGGACAACGGAAGTAGCCCCGCCTTCCGGCGCGCGGCGCTAGAGGGGAGGTGGTGGCGCATGCGCAGTCAGAGTGGCACCCCCCCCCACGTGTATTAGCTGTGGGTGTGCGGCGCTCTGGACTCACTGGACGGCGAGCGGGAGGGACTCGGTGCGCCATGGTGAGTGTCTCCGTTTCCTCGCGCGGTCTGGCCGTGGGCCCTTCGGCCGGACTTGCTGCGCTGGGGCAACTAGCACGGGGCAGGCGGGAGGGAAGCAGGTGGGAGCCGCGCTCGTGTTTCTCTCCAGCACATCGTGTGTGGAGGAGCTGCTCCGGGCGCCCCCGCCATTGCCGCCCCCGGGGCTGTGTGGGGACAGGGCCCCCGGGTCTCCCGTCCTCCCCCCCCATTGCAACTGGCCGGGGACAGGGGCCCCCGGGTCTCCCGCCCTCTTCCCCCCCCCCCCATTGTAGCCGGCGGGGACAGGGGCCCCCCGGGTCTCCCGCTCTCTTTGCAATCGGCCTATAGGCACGGACACCCCCAGCAGCCTCGCAGTGAGGCGCACACGAGGGGGGGGGGGTTAGAGCACGTGGCTACCCCCGGGCAAGGCTGCATTTCATGCCTCGGAGCTAGATAGCGACATGGACCTCCAGTCTGTTCCTCGGCGGGCCTGCTGAGCCAGCCCTTCCGCCCCCCTTTGAGAAGTTAAGCCAGTGATCACATATAAATTCCACCTGAATAGGAGCGAAGACTGTAGAAAAAGACCATGTTCGTGCTGTGTCTAACTTCTGGCTACCATAAGTAGCCGTGAAATGAAAGTGTTTGGTTTTACCAGGCAGCATGCATAAGTAATGGAATTTGCTGTCAGGAGCTTCTGAAGTCAACATGTATTTCAAGTTGACCTGTAACTTACCCAGTAACAATCTCTTTTAATTAATATAGTTTAATTAATTAAACTATTTTTTCTCTTTTTGGCCTATCCATGAAAGTGACCTTGCATGGTCACAAGGTCATTTAGATACTGATACACCAATAGAAACAGGGAGAACAAGGATGTCCTTCTGTTCAAATGTTTTTGCTTTGTCACCTATCAGAAACAATGTTGTTGGTTTTCTTCTTTTTTAAAAAAAAAAAACCCTCAATAATGTGAGAGAGTGAGCTAATATTTTTAGGCATCTGTAATGTGTCTTTAGACAATGTTAAACCCTACTGAGTTTGAGGAAAAAATTCCTTTCATCTTTTTTCTGGCTGTGGCTTTCTTATATTGTATCGGAGGGGTAACCGTGTTAATCTGTATCTACAAAAACTAGGAGGAGTCTGGTGGCACCTTAAAGACCAACAGATTTATTTGGACATAAGCTTTTGTGGGTAAAAAAGATGGCCTAATTATCACTACAAAAGTTTTTTTTTCTCCTGCTGATAATAGCCCACCTTAACTGATTACTCTCCTTATAGTTAGTATGGCAACACTCATTTTTCATGTCCTCTGCGTGTGTGTGTGTGTGTATATCTATATCTATATCTATATCTATATCTATATATATATATATATATCTATCTTCCTATTGTATTTTCCACTGCATGCATCCGATGAAGTGGGTTTTAGCACAGAAAAGCTTATGCTCAAATAAATTTGTTAGTCTGTAAGGTGCCACAAGTACTTCTCATTCTTTTTGCTGATACAGACTAACTACCATTCTGAAACCAGACTCCTTGTTGTTTCTTATATTGATCCTTCCCTCCTGCTGTCTTTCCTGCCAGAGAAATCACTGATGCAAAAAACAAAAAAAACAAAAAAAAAACAGGAGTTAGTATAAAAGGCCCTAGATGCTTAAATCTGAGTTATTTAAACTAAGTGTTTTCAACATATTGATAGCGTTGCCCATGTCTTAATAGAAGTGGGGGGATGATCTACAATTAGCTAATACATTTGTGAATAACAGCTCCCTGCTTCCAAGTAGCTCTGCTTCTGTTAGTAGCACTGGTCTATGAAGTAGCAGCCCCTAATGGAGGGACCTAGTCTTGTTCTTTCTCCTTGTTTCCAGCTGCTTCTACAAGTGTCCAGGCTGTGGCGTCCAGACATCTGTAGAAGCAACTGGAAAGGAGCAGGGAGTCAGCACCATGTGACTTGGCAGTTCTTCACAGACCACAGCTTGATTATTTTTTGAACTAAAATGTGTTCCCACTCCCTGTGCCTCCGTTTCTTGTGTTGCCTGCTTAGTGAAGTTGCAGGGATTGCAGACTTGTATGTGGCTTCTGCTCTGTGATCTCAAATACTACTGTTACCTGCTGACTCAGTAGTTACGGCTGACATTGACAGCCCTAGGCTGGTAACATTTTTACCATTGTCTACTGCTAACTTGAGTTCAAAACAATAATTGCAATCCTCAGTACTTTTGTTGCATTTAGTTTCTCCACCCAAAGCTGCTTTCCCCCTTCCTGCTTTCTGTTCACTCTCAAAGTGGCAATGTTTGTAATATACTTCAGTGTATCATATGCTAAGCTTTACGAAAAATTATAAATCTTAACACTTTTGTAAAAATCACTGGACAGTATCTGCAAAACTTTTTGCAGATATTGGCATTCCTTCAAACATTTTTTGTATACCTTATCTCAAATTTCAAAAGTGGGCAAAATAAGATGAGTGTATTGTCTTTTCTCCCAAATAACTTGGCACAAGATTGTACCTTAATTATTGTATGGAATGCTAAACCTGAATATTTCAGAAGCCCTGACCAACGTGACATGCTTAATCTTTGCTTCTCTGTTTTGAAGCTTTCAACTAAAATAACTACAATAACTGTTCCACGGGTGTCTGATATCTTAGCTATAGGTGACTCTGATTTCAGTCTGTATATGAACTTATTTAATCAGAAGTAATTAATCTTAATAACATATCTTATGCTTTTTTTAGATCTACAGAGGTTTAAACTACATAGGGTTTCCCTAAAGCTTTCCTCATCTGTTAATGTTTTAAGTTATCTTAGGCAGTTATTTAAAATTCTGTGCATCTTAACTGTTAAACTTGTCTATTGCAACAATAATTTAGATCCGTTTTTGCTTTAATATTAATTTATTTTTGGCCTAATTCAGAGAGATGCTGAGTACCTGCAATCTTCATTACACCAGTGGGCGTTGCAGGTGCTTAGACTCCAGTCCTTACTTTGCTATTTAAATAGTAAAATCGTGGTTTTTGAGCTTAGGATTGCAATTTTGTTGCAGTCTCAAATGTTAATGGGTCCTTTTTATGTACAGTACAAAAATATAAAATTCTGTTTCAACAGGCAGGGAAAGCATTTAGGAAGTTTCTTCCCCTGTTTGACCGTGTTCTGGTTGAAAGATGTGCAGCTGAGACTGTAACCAAAGGAGGCATCATGCTTCCGGAAAAATCTCAAGGAAAAGTGCTACAAGCAACAGTAGTGGCAGTTGGATCAGGATCCAAAGGAAAGGTAAATATGTCCAGATTTTGCACCTTGCTAACTTTTTTGGATAAAAGGGATAGAAGCGGGATGTTATCTGGAAAAAAAAATTACATTTATATTGCATCTGATCAAAACAGTAAATGTAATATTTTGAAGAAGAAGAAATTAAAAAAAAAAACAAGTGTGGCCTGAGCACAAGAAGAGAAGCCAAGAACTCTTGAGTCCTAACCTGGCAGTGGTAACCTCTGTGACCACGGGGAAATCAATTTAGTGTTCCTGTCTCTTTATCCCTGTCTGTAAAATGGGGAATAATACCTGTTTCACAAATGTTTTGAGAGAGACAGTTATTGATGGTTGTAAAGAGCTTTGAAGAAAATAAGTTCTTTATAGAAGTGTTTCCATGAGGATGGTTTCTCTTGCTCTGGCATGAATTGGTAAATGATGCAGTGCACCCGTGCTGGGAGGCTAAAGGTTTGTTCTAGGATCATCCAATAAATTAAATTTCTGAATAGCCTTACTGATTAAATTGCTGCAGACACATAACACGTTCCCAAGGTTTAGGAGCAGAACAGAAACCCAGAGCATGACTTATATTAAATACTATCATTGGTACTCTTGTGCTGTGCAAAATATCATCTGTTAATTAACCGAAGTTATTTTAAATATTCTGACTTCTGGTACTTCTGTGTTGGTTTTAGTAAGATCAAGTGTCAGTAGTCTCTTGGCCTATCCAAGGCCGTGATCAAGTGTCCTGATGTTTTTGGTCTTTTGGCCTCGAGATGAAAACCTTGTCTGTGCTTCTGGGACCTTGAAGTAAAAAATATTATATAATTGTAGATTAAAATTCTTCAACTGGAAGGAAGTTGGTCTGTATTTGGTGGTGTCTAGTAAGTAAGGCAATTAATCAAAAAATGTAGATGTAGCCTTCAAGGCATAGGGAGAAACTATGTATACAAATCTTCTCATTTTTAAGGAGCAGTTATATGAGCATGTTCAGATCAGATTTACTAGTATAAAATAGGATATAGGTGTCCCTGCTGGGGCTCACGGCATGCACCTGCCGGGGCTGAATCTCTGAGACCCCCTCCGCCCCCCACTGGGCAGAAGCCAAAGGCAATGCATGGGAAGTGCACGTGGGGTCATTCCCTCTCCCTCCCCACCTCCTATGACTTTTGCCTGCTTTTGCTGGCCCTGCTCAGTCATAGTGCTGCATGGCCCCGTTCCTGCACAACAGCTTCTGGAGCCTGCAAGCTGGGAGCTGTGGCTGTGGGGAGAGGCAGTGGAAAACAGCTGGGAGCTGCAGGGTGAGTTGCTGCATTTGCAGCTGCCTTTCCCCAGGGAGCTAAAGGAGCAGCCCCTCCCAGCAGTTTACTGCTGCCTTTCCATGCAGAGCTAACACCTGGGAGCTGCAGAGAGGGCCCACTGAGCATAATGGGGGGTGTGACTTAAGCTGTTGGGCAGGAGTGAACCTTTAAATTCTGGCCCTGCCTTGACCCCCAAAAGGCTAGACATCTCTGGCAGAAGCCCCTAGCTTCACCACCCCACTGCAAGGCAGTCTGGTAGGTGGAGAATGGGCAGGCCTGGGGGGCTCTGCAAGCCACTCTTTAACTGTAAAAGAGCCGCATGCGGCTCACAAGCTGGTTTGGCCACGCTGGCTCTATATGATAACCGTGTAACACTCTACTTCTGGGGGGATTTTTTTTTTGTCTGTATTGTTACAGACATACTTGCTAACAGGTATTTTGAAATAAATTTTCATAAATAAATGTGTGTGCTTATGAACAAATGTAGGATGTTTGTAGAAATTTACAAGGTTGTTTTTTTTCCCTCCCCTTTAGAGTGGAGAGATTCAGCCAGTTAGTGTCAAAGTTGGCGAGAAGATTCTGCTACCAGAATATGGCGGTACTAAAGTAGTACTGGAAGACAAGGTTTGTTTGCTGAACTTTATAATTGCAAACTAAATTGGTTTATTAATATTCAGGATTATTTTAAAATCCTTCTAGCTAATAGGCCATGTGAAAAAAATGAATAGTGTTGTTGACCAACTGAATGTGAGAGACAACTGCTAACATTCAAATTGAGGAGCATCAATCTGGCCCTGTGGCTTTTGCACACTACACATCTATGATCCTCTGCTGTGAGAGAAACACTTCTGCCCCTGCCATTTCCCCATAGCTGTAGAGAGAAAGTGGTTCTCTGTACCTGCCACCTTATCTTGGGAGGAAAAAAAATATATAGAGGGCTGACTGCAATGTCCTCCTTGCTGAGGAGGAGAGAAGATTCCAGAGCCTTCTACCACTTAATGTTACTATCCCCATGAATTTGTGAACATGGTCTCAAAGGATGCTCCTGCCAGGAAAATTTACCCCAGAGCCTTGCCCAAAGGGGTGAAAAATATCCCCTGGAATGAAAGAAACATAGTGACAGGCTCTCAGGGCAACAGATATTTATAAAAGTCTTTGGGTTAATAGTTCCTTTGATTGTGTAGTATTGGCCTCAGCCTTCAGCAATAAATCAATCTCGGGGACTACAGACCTTGGAGCCAGTTACTAGTTCTGTGAGATTTGTCTGCAACAGATATTAACTTATTTTTTTTTCTCTCCATTTGCAGGAGTATTACTTATTTAGAGATGGTGACATTCTTGGAAAGTATGTGGACTAAATTTCTCAAATGGCTGCAGTATCATGAAGTTGTCCATTCCACTAAAGTGCTGAAATCTTTTTCCATCATGTAAATAATTTCCTGTTCTTTATTTTATAATAAACGGATAACCAGTCTCTCTGAAATAACTCCTACAGTCCCATTGTAGTGATCCAAACACTTCAAAATAAAAGAATGTGTACAGTCAGAGAAACACACGTTCGTTCTTATTTGGAGTTCCATTGAACAGTTCAAAGTGCTGGTGTTAATTTTAATTTTTGTAACTCTTTTCCAGATTTCAGAAAATTCAATTTTGATATCCTCTCAACTGTCCTGATTTTTTTTTTTTATTTTAAAGGAATTTTAGTGATTTTTTTTTCCCCCTGCCTTATAGATGTTTGCGTGGTTTCATTATTAGTCTGCTTCTCTTACTGTTCCCCAGAAACAGTGAAACTGGCTACATCCAAATATGACTTCCATGCACACCTGCAGTACAATTGTACTGATAACACTGTTTCCAAAAAAATACACGAAGAGATGAAGGACTAAACCCTCTCCACAGAGGAGTGCTGCAAAGATGAAAAGTAGTATTTTATTGTTATTGCTGAACTAGGTGAACCTTCTTTTCTTGTTCAACCTGCCTGTGGCAACATCTTTTTTGGTTTAATATGAACCAGACATCATGTATAGTAACATTAACTTCTATATTAAATAACAATTATATACATTCACACAAAGACATTGTATAGGCAGAGAAGTTGAATATTCATGTTAGTTATACAGTAGAATCTTATTAATATGCTGTGTATCTACTCAGCAAAATTATGTTCTGTAATGAAGCTTAATGTCAATTAGATGCCAATGTTTTTACAAAATATACTTCAGTGCGTTTCTAGGGCATCACTGCTAGCTCTGAGTCCTGTCACATTCTTTAAAGACATAACCACTGGAGCAGAATTATCTTCTCAACTGGGGATACACAGAAGTCTTCCAGGGGGTACCTCAACTCATCTAGATATCTGCCTAGTTTTACAGCAGGCTACATAAAAAGCACTAGCAAAGTCAGTACAAACTAAAATTTCATATAGACAATGACTTGTTTATACTGCTCTATATATGATACACTGAAATGTAAATACAATATATTCCAATTGATTTATAATTATATGGTAAAAATGAGAAAGTAATCAATTTTTCAGTAATCATGTGCTGTGACACTTTTGAATTTTCATCTGATTTTATAAGCAAGTAGTTTTTCAATGAGGTGAAACTTGGGGTATGTAAGACCAATCAGACTCCTGAAATAGGTACCCTAGTCTGGAAAGGTTGAGACACTGCTGTACTCCCCCACCTTGGCCTTTTCTGTGATGCACCCACTCAGCAGTCAGTGAGGCTGAAGTTTGCTACTCCCTTCTTCCACCAGCAGCAAAGTGTAGTTTTAATTTGTCTGAAATGTGTACTGTGATTTAGGCCAGGGGTTCTCAACCAGTGGTCTCTGATCCCAGTGGCCCTGAATCTCTCTGGCCCTGCTCCCCTTGGGCCAGAAGCCAGGAGCCCATGGGTGGAGTTGTGGGGGCACAGGAGTGTTGCCCCCCAGGCTGCAGTGTCAGAGCTGGGCAGTCCTGGAGGTAGCTCCCAAACGCCCACCTCCTCCCTGCATCCGAGGCCCCACCACCTGTCCAGGTAGGAGGTGGGAAGCAGAAGCCAAGCAATGTGGGGCAACTGCTACTCTGACTGGTGCCATGGAGCAGACTGTTGCAGCATTCCTGTTTCTTGCTGGTGCCCAGCGTTGCAGCTGCTCCTTAGCTCCCAGCCCCCTGTGAATGCTCATGGAGCTTATAAGAGCCACCCGGCTGGGGGGATCTAGCTCCATGTCTGGCAGAGCCCTTGGGGCGCAACAACTGCAGGGGAGTTCTCCCAGCCCCCTACATTAGGGTTAAACAAGACCCATAACAAATTTAGACCTTGTATGTGTTGGTTTATGAACCTGATGGTTGAATGGGGGAACCAAGTTAGGCTTCAGCTTGTGTGTATTTGGTTTGTTTTTTGGTAATGGCAAAAGAGGCTGGGTTTAAAGGCTTTTCCCATCATGTAGTATATGGACTACAAAGAAAATAGCACTGGTGGTTCTGAGGTATTTGTTAATCGAAAAGCATATTCATGGACATACAGTGGTTCATTTACACAAATGTAGCATTCTTATATGGTAAATATTACCCAGCCATGATTTAATTTTAACTGAAGTAACATTGTTTCCTCAAGCAACCAACCCTTGTACACATTTTCTTAACCAAAAAAAAAAAAAAAACTAACTTCTTCAAAAGGAGATTCAAGGTCACTCAAACTTAACAGTGTGAAAACCTTTATACAGAATGTTCCTTTTCAATAGGGAAGCGTAATATTTGGCCTGCGAAGACCTGATTTAATTTTGTGTTAATTGAATTTACTTACATCGTAAATGGAATTCTGATTCCTATACATGGGGGTTTTTTTAAGCAAAGAAATTTGAGGTACAGTTGTTACTACTACTGACAAAACTTTAACAGTAATAGTATGGAAAATACTGCTACTTATAAAAAAGCCGATCTATATATTAGACTACCAAAATAACTGTGAAATCAATGTTCCAAGAAAAATGTAAGGAAATTACAGGCCCAATCCTGAGCCCATTGAAATTAATGGCAACAGGATAGGACTTTTATTAAAAGATGTTGCTTTTATTCTCTAAATAATATAGTGAGTTGAGGGTTTAATGGTCTAAGCTGGACTTCCTGGAACCATAACTGTATTTCGTATTGATCATCTGCTGATAATGTTAGCTTAGTCGTTTGATCTTCCAAGGTAGATAAGGATTGCCAACTGTGGCTGTTTTAGTCAAGACCCCTGTGTTATGTGTGGACATTAATGATCTCATGTGAGCTGGTGTCTTTAGCCAAAATGTTCCCTGTCCTAGTTTTGTAGTATCAGTTGGTTACCACCCACCTCTTTCAGTGGGTCTGCTTGGGGTATGGATAGCTCAGTGGTTTGAACATTGGCCTGCTAAACCCAGGGTTGTGAGTTCAATCCCTGAGGGGGCCATTTGTGGATTTAGTTGGGGATTGGTCCTGCTTTGAGCCAGGGGGTTGGAGTAGATGACCTCCTGAGGTCCCTTCCAACCCTGATATTCTATGACATTGGGCAAAATCATGTGGGTATTACCAGTTTGAGACAAACTCCTATTGACTTGTCTGATAGTCTGTAAAGTGTTTTAGAATGAAAGCTGCTGAATAAATGCGAACTCATGTATTAGCATAAAAATGAAGCCTAAACACTTGTCTACCTTGAAAGCTGCCCCATTTCAATTTTACTTCATGATTCTAGTGATGCATTTTATTTCTGAAACTGAAGATTACTGTACCCTAACTATTTTAAAACCAATGGATTGTGTAATCCAAATGCTAATAAGCTTGTGCAAATGCACCTTCTGCTACACAGCAATTATGATGCAATCACTTATCTTCTATGATGATGCTTGTGTTCTGGGATTTAAACAGGTCACATGATAAGTTGAATCTTTGAGCTGACTGAGATTTAAAATATTAACAGCCTAGTTTGTTTTTGTAAGATAACTATTCATAGATAAGAACTGGGGTGGAAATTGTCTTTGAATGTAGGTCACTGGGTAAGCCTAATATTTGACTCCCTCTGAATAAGAATCTTTAAAAGATAAAATGCACACAGGAGTCTTATTTTTAGTGGATATCTCTAGGGGCTTGATGCCCCATGTACCAGGCTACCAGGAGTGGGCATCATAGTCTTGGAAGATGCATTTTTCAGCAAGGGAGCCCTGAGGGATACAGGTTTCCTTAGCATGTATCCCACTGATTATTTGTATTTAGTGACTAAGAGTCCTAGTCATGGACCGGGACACCATTGTGCTAGGTACTGTACAAGCAGCCCAAAGTCACTTGGGTGTATTTAGTATGCTAATGTTGCTACAGGTACTTCACCCAGTATTCTGCTCCCTCCTTATGTTCTCAGGTCTCTGAGATTTTCAGCACTTCTGAAAATCAGGCCACTTATATAAGTGCCCAAAATGGATGTAGCTTCTGAACTTTATGTAATTGACTGAAATTTTGGGGGATTTAAGATCTGTTTTCTCGTCTGAAAACTGGGATAATGCCTTCCTACTTGTTTATGTTTGTAAAGTGTGTTGAGGTTCTTGAAAAAAGGGTGTTATAGTTTACAAGTGCAAAGTAATAGTGTGGCCCTGAATCCACTCTGCACTATAAATAAAGTGCTTAGATGAATGATGGACCAATATGCACAGATTGCATATAATGTGAAGGTTGTTTTTTCTCTGCAAGGCTATCACTGGGGGCAGGAACAGGATGACTTAGCAACTGTGTTTTATCTGCTGTTGTCATATCAATCTGAAGTCAATGACTGTGTGCCAATAGTTACCCCTCAGGTTTTATTGCGGGGAGGGCAGCCACCTGTTAAAAATTCTCACTTCTAGCTGTTTATCTCGTATCAGAGGTTGTCTATTTCTTCCTCTGCTTTTTAGACTACAGGTAGGTGAAATGGGGAGGTACAGGTACTTCTATTCACCCCTGGACTTTCTCCCCAGCCTTTCAATAACTACATCTGATTGTGGGAGTGGGGGCATAGGTATGCCTTTCAAATGTCATTTCCCTTCGGCCACCTTATAGATCCTGCCTAGAAGCAGCTGTATTATCTTCATGAAACTTTGTTGCCCAGGCCGGCTCCATCCCCTGTGATGATGAGGCAGGAATGTGCCTTTGTGAGGCTTCTAAGTGAAAAAGCACATTATAGCCAGAAGCCCTAACCCTGCAGAAATAATAAGAACAAGAACATAAGAGCAGCCATACCGGGTCAAACCAAAGTATTGTCTTCCGATGGTGGCCAGTGCCAGGTGCCTCAGAGGGAATGAACAGAACAGGTAATCATCAAGTGATCCATTCCCTGTTGCCCATTCCCAGCTTCTGGCAAACAGAGGCTAGGGACACCACCCTGCCTAATAGCCATTGATGGACCTATCCTTCATGAACTTACCTAGTTCTTTTTTAAACCCTGTTATAGTCTTGGCCTTCACAACATCCTCTGGCAAAGAGTTCCTCAGACTGACTGCATTATGTGAAAAAATACGGTACTTTCTTTTGTTTGTTTTAAACCTGCTGCTTATTAATTTCATTTGGTGAGCCCCTACTTCTTGTGTTAGGAGAAGGAGTAAATAACACTTCCTTATTTACTTTCTCCACATCAGTCATGATTTTATAGACTTCTATCATATATCTCCCCTTAGTCGTCTCTTTTCCATGCTGAAAAGTCCAGTCTTATTAATCTTTCCTCATATGGAAGCTGTTTCATACCCCTAATCATTTTTGTTGCCCTTTTCTGAACCTTTTCCAATTCCAATATATCTTTTTTGAGATGGGGCAACCACATCTGAACGCAGTATTCAAAATGTAGGTGTACCCTGGATTTATAAAGAGGCAATACTATATTTTCTCTCTTATCCCTTTCTTAATGATTTCCCAACATTCTGTTTGCTTTTTTGACTGCTGCTTCACATTAGGTGGATGATTTCATTAATATTAAATAAATTGGCCAAATACTCTCTCTGACTTTCACTTATGACAAATGAGGGTGCAGGTTTAAAAAAAAAAAACACTCATCTACTTGGTAAAATTTAACATGGTTGGACAAATGCCAGACATAAGTAACTAAATACTGGGAGGGAGAGAGGCTTAAAGTCCCACTTAAAACTTCTTGGTTAAAAAATACCATTAATTTATTTTCTCTTTGACCTGCAAAAACTGTGACCTGGTTGTAGATTGATAGAGCGGATACATATTGCCATCTGACAGATGTTTTTTTTTCAGCTTGATTTATTTGCATTTTGGAAGCTCTGCTGTCCTTGCATTTAAAGTCAGGGACAAGCAGCTATCAAAACCCTAACTTCTGTGCTTCAAATGTTAGTTAACCTTTAGAAAGTATGGAAAGGAAAAAGATCAGTGCCTAGTGGCAAGGGAACCCCTCCAGCTAATGAGTGTGTCTGCCTTGTGCCATGCTTAGCTGAGCAGAATGCCATCTTTCAAGGCATTAATTTTGGATTGTACCAGGTCTAAATAGGATGGAATATTAATCTAGATATTTTTACCTAATCCTTCATTGTAGGCCACTATTTTCCCCCTCTAATTTTATCACCCTTCACATAGAAGTGCCATGTTCAACCTTTTGACTGAGAAAGCAAGCAATTGCTGAGCCTGGAATACTAGCCTACAATGTGCTTGCGGGCCGGGAAGCTAATTACCATTCAATGCAAACTGCACTAATGCACTAAACTGTCACCTGTCCAACATTACTGTGTACATCCTGTATGGAACTGCCAACCCAGTAACACTATCAGCTCTCTGAGGTAGTTTTGGGGTATATGCATTGGAGCCCTGACGATCCCTTATTTCCCATCATTTTATCTTGCTCAGGTTTTGACTGTCAATCTGGCTACCAAGAAAGGACTGCTGTTAGTGACAGTCCCCAAGCAAAACAAAAACTCAGAATGATTTAACAGCAGGAAACAAAGTTTACAATTTAGATTATGAACCCTTTAATGTTAGGAATAGGCAAAAGTTACACTAAACGTGCTATCAAACTGAAGATGACCCTGCAAGGGGTGCAAGGAAAAACTTTTCAGTTTGAAAGTGTGTCTCATTCAGAATTTATTTGCTTGGTGCAATAAGAATGCATGCTCTGTGGCCCTTATGCACCTTTATTAAAGGACAGAGGTTGCTACAAACATTTTGATGTAGCAAGATCATTTATTTACCTTTTCAATTGATAAAAACTCCTTACCCCACCCCTTTTTCTTTATCTTCCTTGCTACCAACAAGATGTTCAGTCTCATCCACCTTCTGATCCATCTGTCCTGTCCCATTCAATCCCCCCTCCCAAGTGGTTCTATTTTGCCTTCCACTCTCTACAGGCATAGCTATCTCTGTCTTTTCCTTCTCTCTGTCCTCCACTAGCAGGCACTTTCCCTCCTCCTCCCTAACTTCCATCCCCATCTCAGCAGAATTTATTCTATCTCCATTTCTCCTCTCTGCTTTCCGTCACCCCCCACTAGCACTCAGATAACAATGATGATGAGCATGGTATTAGACCCTGACAAGAATATTCCATCCCCATTCCCTCCTCCCTGTCCTACAGAAGCTGTTCCATCTCGGTGAGAGTTTGTTCCTTTGCCAGCTCTATTTCTACATCTGCATTTGTTCTATATGCACCTCCAGTGACAGCTACTGTACCCAGGTCAGGTGCCAGTGCAGGTGGGAGTGCCTGGCTTGTTTCACCCCAGAACCAAGGCCAACCCTTCTCATGCATGCTCACTGCAGCCTGCAGCCATGGGGTACTTATTAGCCTTTCTATCCATTTCACTCTGAAGGGACCTGAGATGCTTTGTGTCCATTTTGCCACTAACATACTAGCTTGGTAGAAACCAGACCAACTTTGCAGCCCTATCTCTATCCTCCTAAAATATTGCTTTTATAATGTTTTGACACCTTTTTCCCCCCCCGGTACTAAAATAATTAAATTCCCCTTTAATTACATTATAACTTTTTACTACTTTGTCACTATTTTTTTTTCATGTTATTTCTAATATTTCTAGAGAGGGGGGAGACTTTGCTTCGCTCTGGACTCGCGCCCGCAATGCTACGTGATGCCCGGAGAAGCGTATTGTCTGCCGCGGGACGTGGTGCAAGGAATGCTAGGAGCTGGGAGTCCTGGTGCCATAGGTGAAGAACACGGATCACACTATCATCACTCCAAGAGCTAGAACTATGCTGGAGAGGACCTGAAGGATATCATCTGCTGCCAATATATGGAAAACCTGAAATGAAAGCCAGGGCATGACAAGGCGTTTGAGGTGACATGCAAGTGGGACGCCAGCAACCACTTCCTCCCCGGGGACAGCTTCACCCAATTTGCCGACTGAAGGTTCATCCCCAGGGCCTGGCTCAACTGTGTTCTGCTGAACGGAGCCGTCCACCACAGGAATCGGGACAAGCGATGCAGGAAGTGCGGCCATGCCAACGAGATGCTACCCCACGTCCTGTGTAGTTGCAAGCCCCATTCCAGAGACTGGCAGCTGTGACACAACGCCATCCAAGATCGCCTGGCCAGAGCCATCCCGCCACTCATGGGGAAGGTTGCAGTGAACTCCACCATCCCCAGAACTGACAGCCAGTTGCGACTGGCCATCATCACCACCAATGTGGACCGAAAGAAGATCATCATGGTGGATATCACAGTGCCCTTTGAGAACAGGACCTCAGCCTTCCACAATGCCCGAACTCGAAAGGTGGAGAAATACGCACCTCTGGCCGAAACCTTGAGAGCTAAGGGTTACCAGGTTCAGACATGCGCACTAATCGTCAGAGCCTTGGGTGCATGGGACCCCAGTAACGAGTGAGTGTTGAGAGAATGCGGAATTGGTCAACGCTACGCTCGGCTGATGCGGCAACTCACGGTGTCTGACACCATCAGATGGTCGAGGGACATCTACATAGAACACATCACCGGACATCGGCAATACCAGAAGGGATGAGCTGGAGTGCCGATGAGAAGCGCAGTCGGTAAAGTAACTGAAATACTTGTCTCATGGATTATATTTTCTAAATAGACAACCTACCTAATCCTCAACTATTGAGGGACAATCTTCATTCATTGATAAATGTGCTTTCCACAACCAACTCTCTGTATAACTTTTCATGAGTGATGTACCCAAATACTTGGATGCTAAGATTTAAACTGTATTCTTAAATTTACTCACCTAAATTTGGGTTACTGCTGATTATGCACTATATGTATCTCATGATTTTAAAAACAAAGTTTGTATTTGTGGATAATCTAAGCACTATACTCAGATGTACAGACACTCTTTTCTCAACCTGTGTATTATATAATTTTAACAATAGCTTTAATAAAATTTTTATGTCTAGAGGCCTCATTTGAGGATCAGTGCCCCATTGTGCTCAGAGCTGTGTATACATTTGATATAAGATAGTCCTTGCTGCAGACAGGTCAGAGAGAATGGCAGGATGCAACAGCAAGATGTTTGAAGAAATTATAATATTAGGAATTTCTGCACATACAGGCATCTTGTTTGCAAAGCAACAACCTGGTTAGCTTGCTAGCCTTTTGGAGCTAAATGCACATCTGATAAAAGTAGGTATATCTTATTTTGGGGGAAGTTGTATGGTATGTCATGGAAGCTCTATGGCCTGTGTTATCTAAGAGGTCAGACTAGATGATTACACGAGTCCCTTCTGGCCTTAGAATCTATGAATCCTACTAATTATTTTTGTGAGGCCAGGATCTTTTCTTAGGTGAAACTCCCTCATGGAGGTGTTTTGAGGCCATGTGTTCCTATCATCTGACCTGTAACTGAAGAGCAAGCATAGGGTAACATTTCTAAGACACCATGGATTTTCCTCTTGAGAAAAATCAGAAAGGAAGCCCTATTTCTTACTGACTATCTAAATACAAGCTATGTAAGCACTGAGAAAGGGAGATTAGAACTTTTCCTTTTGGTGTAGACTGGCCTAAGGGTTACTTTTTGTTCAAGAGAATCTCTGATTGGCGATGAGGGTTGATCCCAAGTTCTTAAGAGTCTTGACCCACCCTTGTGTGGTGGAGATGGCTCTAGGGCACTTTTGACTGGTGTGAGAGGCTGGGGACACTGTATGAGCAGGCCCTGGCTCTGAACCTGGCCAAGGCCGCTGGAGGCCCCGCCCACGCCCCCTGGCAGCGCGCGGGGCGGCCAGTGGCAGCCCCGTGACCCAGCTCTCCCTCCCTCCCTCCGCGCACATAGCGCGCGCACCACGGGGCACCGCCCCCCGCCTCTAGAGGGTTGTTCTCGCTACCGCTGCCACTCCCGCCTCCCCACCGGCTCTTCCGCCTGCCTCCCTCCGCGAGGAAGCTGCTTCACCCACAGCCCCCCCCCCCCACACTCCGCCCCTTTCTGGTCGTCACGCGGGCTGTTCCATCTTCTTCCCACCCTCCCCACCACCAGCTGTTCCTGGGCCTCCCTCCCTCTGCTCCCGCCGCGCCTGTTCCTCCCCCTCTTCGTCAGCGGCTGCCGCATCCGGGTCCTGGCGCCGCTGTCACTATGGTCATGGCGGAGGGGACGGCAGTGCTGAGGCGGAACAGGCCGGGCACCAAAGCCCAGGTGAGGCGCCGCGCTCCGCCCCGGCCGCCTCCTGCCCGCGCGGGGCGAGGGGCCGGCAGCAGCGGGCGGGCTGGGCCTGCCCGGCCGCCGCGCTCCC